TTTTATATTAATTAATATTTTATAAATTTTTTTTGTAAATTAGATGGAAGACGCGGAATATAATATAGAAAAGATGCGTACCGCATTCATCAAGAGAACAAATGTTCAATCAGGAGATAAAAGATTGGAAAGACTGGAAAATTGCATAAACGAATGTAAGTTATACATTATGATCATATTATGTAAGGTAATTCAGATCTCGATAAATATATAATCATGTTCAGTAAAACTGTTTACAATATTAATTATTAATAAATTTTAATGCATTCAACTAGTTATTTTAACATTACAATAAGTGACGATAGAATATAACATATTATTTTACTCTTTTTTTTACTTATACTAATTTTATTTTTCTTTTATTTCAGCAAAAGATCTTACAGAAAAATGCGAAAAAGCGTTCCTTCTTAGTGCATGTCTTTTAAAATCTGAACACGAGCATGTGCATGAGTATGGGTATAGTGAATCCGCAAAATAGTAAATACAAAAATAATCGAAATATAATTAATATGTTAAAATTTATATTGCACAGCATTTTCAATAAAAAAATATATGTATAAGTATATTATAGTTTTCTTTTATTTGATACATTAATACAAAAAATAAATTTTAATTTAAATAAAATACTGACTTTTCCTTGATAAAAAAACTTAATCAATTAGAATTACAAACTTTTTAAAATTATAATGTTGTAGAAAATGTAAACAGAAAATCGCATAAGTTAATAAAATGGAATTTAAAATATATATACTTTTTAATTTTAACTTTTACATTTATTTAAATTGTTAAATTTGCAATATAATAGGAACATATATGATTATATTGAAATTGTTTTCACACAATTCTGCATTTTTATTTTCCTTAAAATATCAACAATTAAAATAATTAAATTTTTTATTAATTTAATTTTTTATTAATTTAATTTCATTTCTTTTATTTATATAGTCGTTGATATGCGAATGTACTTACATAGCAATGTATAATTATATGTTTATATCAATGTACTATAGGTAATTTACATTTTATACATCAAATTATAAAAATTAATTAATTAATTTTTATACATGTCGTTTATCATAATAAAAATATATTGATGATTATAAGCTCATACTGATTTTGTACAAACATAATTCTATACGTACGTATCATTGTCCTTTAACAATACATATTCATTGCGATATCTTAATTGCAAATTAATTACAGTTACCTTAACAATAGACGTTATATAATTAAACAAATTTAAAATTATAACAGAACTTTACATCTATTATTATTTCTTTTATTTTTTCTATAATAAGTTGCAAAACATACCGTCACCAGGTACAGTGCCTTGCAACAGCTAGAAACGTCAATAGTAATTAGTGCTTCTGATTGGCTGTCATAAAGCATTGGGATTGACAATGAGATATTTGCAACTTATTGTAGATTGCCTCTTAGATTAATATATGATTTGTGCCAAATTCAACTTGTTTATCAAATATTTTTAAAGTGTCAATTACTAGAAAATAAGTCTAGAATTTAAATAAAATACATGTAAAGATAAATTATTGTTATATGTACTAGACAAATTTGTATAATATAAATGATAAGAATAAATAAAAAATTAAAATATAAACACGTGAACACATATTTCAAAATATACGAATTAAGTTGACCAATAACTCTCCTCAGTTTTTTATGTAAAACTCAAAAACAAAATATTTATATTTTAAAATCTTTAATCAGTAATGTATTCACCGTTTTGCACAACTTTAATCAATGTTACGAGCAATTTTATAATGCCATTTTCAACTGATTGTCCAGAGAGTAGCAATTAGCAGTTGAATTTACAATGAAAATGTCGGAACTACAAAATAGTTCAGGCATTCACAATGTTATTTTCGTACACAGCAGGAAACTTTTTATAAATTCGTGGAACATTTTTATCTTTATGTAAATAAAGCAGCATGATGTGCCGAAAATCATTCTTGTCTCCCATATTTAAAACAACAACATCTCAAATACTAAAAATTCAATCTTAGCAAATTTTTTATAAAATTTTTTATGCATTCATCTTTCACAAAATTGTTGAATAACTGATAAAATAATAAATAAATATTTACTAATAATATAATATTATTAGATGTTAACTGCATTTCCTCTCGAAAACATACTTATTGGCTAACCTATAATATAAGGAAATTTCATATGTATATTATTTTGTAAACAACTCGTATAATCGTCTGCAACAGAGATAAGTATTCTATCATTTATATATTTGTGCTAAGTTTAGTAATTATCATTTATATTCTCACATTTGCATGATACACTTTTACGTGATCCTTGACCTCAACTTTAATCTTCGTATACATCTGTTGGTAGCAGCTAGAAATTTACGTTGTACGTTGTTTGATTCTGAAAAGTTCTTTAGCGCTCTAGCTTATAGAAATAATAAAATTATATGAAAGATTTTAAAAATAAAGACATTTATGTTCTATATTTATGTTTTTGATTTTGTTGTAAATATTTTTTAACTAAAAAAAATCCACACAGATTAATTAAACAATAAAATTAACAATAAAATTTTTAAAAAATTTTTTTATAAATTAATTACCTAGGTATAATAAGATTTTTTTATATTCTCTCTGGAACAATATTAAATTGAGGGATTAATTAAACGTGGAATTAAATTTGTTAAGAAAAAAAATATTCAATCAAGAAAAAACCTATGTATATTTGCATGATTGAAATTATTTTTTATACATATATATAGGGAATGGAAGTTAGTACTTGTAATGCCATTACAAATTACTTTTTTTGATAACGATTTGGTAATTGCTGATTACTTCTTTTTTTTTGGTAACTGTAATGTAATTACATTTTTTTTGTTAACGAATTTTATAATTATTTTTGTTGTTACTTTTTATATCTATTTATGATATAATGTTGATATATTTGCAATCTTTAATCAATATTCATAATTTATTGTTATATTTAAGATTATCTTAAGAATAATTTTAAGAGTGCGTTCCGATGAAGAAAGAAACAATAGAACGAACAAAAGAAACAACAGAAATGAAGCAAAGTAGAGGCTAATCAAAATGATTCCGTTCCATTTTTTCGTATTCAGACTCCTTAAGATAAAACTTTATTCTTTCGCAGCAATGATATATGAAGTTATATTTAATTGATAACATATGATTTGCGTAATTGTCTAAAGTGGTCCGAAATCAAAAAATAACGACCTTATAATTGAGGAAGACAGTGCTAATTCTGTATTGCTGCCTTTAAGAGGATATTTAAACGATATAAGAGAGTATCAATTTTTACTTAATGTAAATAAAAAAGAGATGACTCTGTTTGCCTACAAATCGATTGCCAACAATATCTCATTTGTTCTACATCATTTTTGCCGATAGTTCGTTTGACAAAAATTATTGTCTACAGCTCGATTGCTTACATGTACTTTTGTGCACAAATAAAAATTTTAGAAACAAAGTTACATTTGTTTACATGTATTATTGCGTACAAATGGATTGCTAATATATATTATTGTTTATAGTTCGATTGCCTAAGCGGCAATGCACTTTTGCACACAAATATAAAATTAAGATAGTTTAAAATTAAGTAAGAAAAATAATTTATATTTTTAAAACAAAAAATGTGTATTTTAAAACAGAGAATTTGTTTTAAAATAGAGAACTCGTGTTTCTAAAGCAGAAAATTTGTATTTTAAAACAGAATTTTTAAAGCAGAGAATAGTACATGCAAGCAATCGAGCAATCTGTATTAGGCAATAATACATGTAGACAATTGATCTATAGGCAACATATATGGACAAATGTGATATTTCGTCTCTGAAAATTATGTGTATGCAAAAGTGCTTGTAGGCAATCGAACTGTAGGCAATAAAACTTGTAGGCAATAATACATATAGTCAAATATAACTTTGTTTCTAAAATTTTTATTTGTGGGCAAAAGTGCATGTAGGCAATCGAGCTGTAGATAATAATTTTTGTGCGTAAATAAACTGTCGACAAAAGTGATGTAAGCAAATGATACGAAAATGTGATAAGCAATCGATTTATAGGCAAACGGGATTCCCCCCCGTAAATGTAACAAAAATAAAGTTCCTTTATTTACAATTTACAGCATTTTACAGTTTTAAGCATTTTAAAATCGTTTTTCTTAACTTTTTTGTGTTTTGTAATTTTTACACAAATTTTATTATTTTTAAAAATATTACAACAGTAAAAATATTTTATTTAATCTGATCTTGTTTGTATTTAAAAAATGTATAATTTGAAAAAATCACTTTTATTAAATTGTAAGAAGAAAACCAAAATTATTTTTTTTATGAAAAGAAGCAAATATATAGCAGGCATTTTTCAAATAAATTTTTCTATTATTAAGAAAGGAATTTAAAAAATTTATGGAAAAATGAGAAGAAATGATTCTTCTTTCGAAAATTTTCTGAAAAAAAATTTCCATTTTTCATTGCATATTCTTGTAACTTATCTCAAGACCTTTTCAAAACATTATAATAAAGTGTACTTCTTCTTTAAGTACTTTTTGAGTTATAGGACTTGAAAGTTACAATACCATAGGCATTAGCATTATCTAATAAGGTGTCCAATCGATAATTAAAACCTCTTAAATGTTATTCAGGATCATGACCTAGATAACATTTATCAAGATCAAGGTTATCGGAGATTGTTCTTCTTATTTTCATTTTTATTTCTTGTTAAGTTTTCTAATGCATTTATATAGATATAATAAAATAAAATTAAAATATAATGGAAAAATAATGGATTTCTTTTTACTACACCTAATATTAATTAAAGAGGTATATTAAAAAAATATTCATATTAAATTTTTTGATATTTAATTAGTTTGTGTGTAATTTTTAGAGTACAAAAATATTTACAAGTATACTTTCGCACTTGTAAATATTCTTGTACTTTAAATGTTCAAAATTAAACCAATCTTAGCAAATTTTTTTTATATGAGCGTTGAAATTTTATCTTTTAATGTTTATTATAAAGATAAATAAATATTTACTAATTACATCATTCGGTTAATCGCGCTACCACGATTAAATTGTAAAATTGCATATTCACTATCCTGATTAAAATATTCCAATTAGAATTTTTTTAAATATTCTACATCGATATATTCTTGATGATTATTACTCCAATGTCTTGATGATTATTACGTCACTTCGTGACGTCTTGATGATTATTACGTCACTTCGTGACGTGATGTATAATTACTTTTTTCTGTGAATATTTAGTTTATACTGAAGAGGATCCAAATTAGAATCGAAACGTATATATATTTATCTTTTTTAATAAAGTATATTTAATTACACACCCACAATCTGTATTGGCTCTCAAAGGCTTTTCTTTAATATTTTGATAAACAACCAAAAAATGCAAGTCAAATATCATTCAAGTCAAATAATGTACTTTTTTAATTTAAAAAATGGCATAATTAGTTAAGTTAAAAATTCCAAGTAGAAATATATAATGCTTCCTTATGGTCTATCCGATTGATCTACTTAAAATTTTCTGTTTTATGTAAGCTTATTCCAAGGTTATTCTTTATTTGCAACTAATCAGCAGAAAACTGGAAATATTCTAGAATACAGTAGAGATAAACACAAATGCCTGATTCACTGACGTAGCATATACATTAAAAGATTATATATATATATAATTACAAAGCAATAAGAATATAAATGTTTAAATGAGATAATTACGAACATATGAGATTATAAGTCACATCTTAACAACTTATATTTGCAATGAGAGTTAGTGTTAGTGATGGATATCATTCTATTTTCTTTTGTGTTTGCACTTCATGTTTATATGACCTGTGATTTTGCAACTTTAATCAATTTATTTTTTATATTACAGATGATATAAATACGATGATAGTAGGCTTCAGAACACTTTAGTACGACACATTTAGAGATAGTGTAGACTAACTAAATCAATAAAATGAAGAAAATATTATTTTATATTTGCACTTTTGTGTTCGTTGTAAGTATTTTTTTGTCAAAAATTATATATAAATAGAAGGTTAATTAAAAATGTTTCTAGAGACATAATAAGAGAGTTCTCTTATAACTTAATTTTAAATAAATTATAACTTTTATATTATATTATTGTTACATATATATATAATTAATACACAACACATCACAGCAAACCAAAACGTAATCGTAATATAACTTAGGAGATACATAGAAAGAACAATGATATATTTCTTTGTTATGTTATATAAATATAATAATTATTTAAAATTATAATATAATACACACATCACTCAAAATACATAATATGAATACAATTGTAATCTTTCAACAATTTAATGAACTTTATACGATTGATAAATATAAAATACGTATTATAGATACGTTGAATTTATCCGACTTCCAGCTATCAGGGATGCATTCGAGGAGATACTATTAGCGCTTTTTGTGTCATTTTTTTCCTCGTTTTATATCTAATAAACAATATAAACGAAATGACACAAATAGCTTTAATAATGTCTCTCCAAACACAGCCCTGTAAATTACTTATGATCAAGTTTAATTCAAGACTTAATTCAAAATTTAATGTTATATGACGCTACATTCTTTTTATGCATTTTTTATTATTTATATAGCGTAAATTTTTCATTGTTGTATCTGTTTTGAATATATTTTGTATATTCATATTAAAATATGTAAAAAAAGATTATATTACATAGCAGTAATACATTATTGATACATTTCTGATATAAAATAATATGTTTATACCAGTGTGATATTTATCATTACAAATAATATTACATGTAACATTCTTGATACTCATGTAATATCTACATGTTATATCTACATTAAGTTACATGTGTGGTTTGCTAGGATAATAAAACACACACACACACACACACACACACACACACACACACACACACACACACACACACACACACACATACACACACACACACATATATACATGTATTGCGTATAAAACAGTTTAATCAAAGTAGAAAAATTCACTAAAAAATTCATTAAAAATAAAATTTCGTATCTTTTAGTCTTGTACCATTGACGCGAGGAAATTAGGATCCGACAGTGAAAATTACAATACGTGTTTAACTGAAACTAATGTATCTGATGGTAAGTCTACGAGCACATACGAATTAACATGAAACTAAACGTGGGTTTTTGCTAAATAATGCTAATGCCAGCGGTATTTTATCGAATATTTCAGTGAATGAAAATTGAATAATAAATTGAATAAAATTTTTTTTTACATTTAATAAAAATCAAAAGAAGATAAAGAGAAGAATGTAGTTTCAGTGCACTGGGAGTCAATTTTTGTAACATTAATTGAACTTTGTTAATGTCCTGATTATAAAAATATTAAAATTATATAATAATAATTGTTATTAAAGATTATTTAAAATAAAAATTAGGGAAAAGATTTGTTTTTATTAATAATTTGTATTTTACAGTCTTATTTTATAAATAATTATTTGAATATTTTTCAAAAACTATTAGAGAACTTTTTAATACATAATTACAAAAATAATTTTAATTATTAAAATCTCTATATTAATTGAAGATCAAATAAAAGTTGATACATGATAGTTTAAATATTTATACGAAGACTATTTTATTGCAAATACATATAAAAAAGATTTAAATAAAAATTTATATATTGTGTTTATAATATTTTTTAGAACATCAACAAAATTTTTATAATTCTTTACATGGATACAAAATTTACATTTTTTTTAAATTAAATTTCTAGATGACATGTTAACAGTACACGACATAGCACATGACCAATACAAATCCGAAAATCAAGAAAAACTAAATAAGAATGGTTGTGTCATACAATGTTTATTACAAAAGGGAGGACTGGCAAGTAGTTTTTTATTATTTTCTTAAAAAAGATGTCTGAGCTTTGAAATGTTTAAATAATAAAATGTTGTGAATATTTTAAAATGTTATTTTTCTCATAATATCTTTTATATGATGCTCTATTTTTTTAATATTGATTTTCCAATTGTAAATTTTATTAGTAATTTAATGCTTTTATATATTATTACATTAAACAATATGATTTAAAAAATAACATAAGACTTAATACATGCATTTAAAAAAGTGATCTGATGAATTATCTAATTATTAATGTTTTATAAACTATTTTTGTAAATATTAGATGGAAGATGCAGAATTTAAAGTAGAAAAGATGCATAGCGAATTCATCAAGAAAACAAGTGTTCAACCAGGAGATAAAAGATTGGAAAGTCTGGACACTTGCATAAATGAATGTAAGTTATATACATAATCATATCATATGTGTAATATAATCTAGGTAATGTAGATTTTAATATGTAATTATGTTTAGTGTCTACAATAATAATTATTAAATAAGTTTTCATACATTTAATTATTCTAGTTATTTTAATATTAAGAGAGAATACAATATCCTCACTTTACTTTTTATCACTTACTAATTTTATTTTTTTCTATTTTAGCAAAAGACCTTACAGAAAAATGCGAAAAAGCTTTTCTTATTTCTGCATGTTTCATAAAAGCTGAACATAAGCATAAACATGGACATGATCATGAACATGAATAAATCCGCAAAATAAATATAATTAAGAATGGCTGAAATTAAATTAAAATATTAAAATCTACAGACATTTTCA